CTGCTTGAAACAGATACACTGATAGGTCTGCAGGATACCTGTATGGCACCCGCAATCTGCTGATCGCTGCTACAATGCTTTAGAGGCCCCAGAAACAAAAAAATACCGTAGTTTTCGCCGTATAAGACGCACTTTTTCTTCCCCAAAACTGGGGGGGAAATGTCAGTGTGTCTTATAAGGCGAATATGGAGCGGCCGGTCCGGTATTTCCACTGCGGCCGTGTCAGAATACCAGGCCGGCCGCTCAGCTCTGCAGATGGACCTTACCTGTTCCTCTATCCAGCGGCGTGCTGTCTTCCGGCTTCTGTAGCGTGGGCACTGGGCATGACAGCCGGGTGCCCAGTGCGCATGCGCGAGAAGCGGTGCGCTTTGTGAATGGTAAGGCGGTACCTGGGACACATGACAGATCCCAGAAGCCGCCGGACCAATCACAAAGCGCAAGTGCTTCTCGCTCATGCGCACTGGGCACCCGGCTGTCATGCCGAGCGCCATTACAGAAGCCGGGAAGACAGCGCGCGGCTGGATCAAGGAACAGGTAAGATCAAACAAAAACTCTGCGGAAGTAAGAGCGGGTACCTGTCAAATTCAGGTACCCGCTCCCCACTTCCCCAAAGGTCAGCAGTCATCTGTGCTGTCCGCAGTCTCCCTGTGCTCCGCATCTCCCCTGTGCTGTCCGCAGTCTCTGCTCATCCCTGTGCTGTCCGCAGTCTCTGCTCATCCCTGTGCTGTCCGCAGTCTCTGCTCATCCCTGTGCTGTCCGCAGTCTCTGCTCATCCCTGTGCTGTCCGCAGTCTCTGCTCATCCCTGTGCTGTCCGCAGTCTCTGCTCATCCCTGTGCTGTCCGCAGTCTCTGCTCATCCCTGTGCTGTCCGCAGTCTCTGCTCATCCCTGTGCTGTCCGCAGTCCATTAGTTCAGAATTTTTTTTCCTGTTTTCTGCCTCTAAAACCTAGGTGCGTCTTATAGTCAGGTGCGTCTTATACAGCGCGAAAAATACAGTAAGCACTTTTTTTATCTGCAAAAAAATTGTGCATTTATTATTTTTGGTTAAAAGGTGAACTTATCCTTTAAATGTGGATGAAATCTCCACTACAAGACTGTCTTGCTGATCTAGGTTCCCAGAAGAGAAAAAATTCTCAGTGCCACCTTTTCTTTACACAACAGGTCTGGCAAAAGGGCAAAATTAAGGACCAATCTAGGACGGAAGATCGAAGGAGTACAACTGTGACCCTTGCTACAAATGGCTTTGATAAGGCCAGACATTCTGTCCATGAAATCTGACAGTGAGACAGAAAACTCTTTTCTGGATAAAAATAAAAAGGAAGCTAATGTGGTGAAATGGCGCAGCAGAATGGCCAGAGCAGGGCTTGCAAAGTTGCTTTGACCCTAGGTGCATGTTTATGCGGATTTCAGGGAGTGTTCCAGTCTGCAGAAAAGCACTACAGTGTAAGACTGATTCCTATGGATCTAGTTCACATCTATGCGTTTTGACCCGATGCAGATTGTTGAAAGTCAGGGGCCTTTTTCCCCACAGGAGATGGCGTTTAACCTCCCTAGAGGTATGATTATTTCAGATTTTTGGTGCTGAAAGCGGTACCATTATTTTGCATGGAAATATGGTGTTTTATTTTCGGCTGTAATTTTTAGGAATAACTCACTGAAATCTGTCCGAACGAGAGTCTATTAAACATCCCGGGTAGGATAAAATTTGAAACACGAAATCATAAATTATAATATAATAAATCATAAAAAATAATATAATACATTTAATTCAATAATGTAATCAAACCAAAAACACTGAAATTTGAAATATAGCACCAAGTTCGCACATCGCTGAGCAAAGTCGCAAAATCGTTTTCAGTGGTTGATGACGAATTTCCCCACCAAAATCACTCAATTCTGCAAGTGGTTCTCATTTACTATCGCTGTTCTCTAGCTGGTCTAAACCCGCTTTTGACCTAAAGGGGCGCTTTTTGGACGCCATGGACTTTTCTAAGATTCCAGGCAGAAAGAACAGACAAAATGCAGGCAGGGCACAGGACAGAGCACTAGGGACAAAACGTATGTGAAATGGGTTGAAACAGCAATGTTTTACTATGTAAAATTTGTTTGGAAAAAAATGAATTTTTTTTAAATTTTCAAATTTCCCGCCGCCGGCGCCCGTACGTCCCGACGTCACAGGGACCAGAACACAGAAGCCGGATGCCGGCATCGGCCGGAGGAGATGGCCGGGGACGCTGCAGGGGACACATCGCGGGAGCGCAGGACAAGGTAAGCTCTGCAGGGAATCCCTATGCAGCGCCGCATGGTAAGCCCGAGTGTAGCTCGGGGTTACCGCTTTTGGTACTGACATTTTACCCCGAGCTACACTCGGGAATACTAAGGAGGTTAATAGACCTCAATGGAACTGCACTAAAAACACAAGTATTGCATTTTTGATGAGTTTATGCGTTTTGCGTGACTTTAAGCTGCTAAAAATTGCTTACACCTGCAGTGGCATAGCCTGGGTTGTGACCAATAGCGATCACATGATACCCATTACCAGTAATTAATTTGCTGTGTTCACAGGAGGGGCACGCTCCTAAACCAGAAAAGGTATATGTACGCGACTGTGCCTGTACATGCCGCCCACCGCAGTATACTTACTATGGTGGTTGGGCAAATGGTTAATGGTTTAGGAGTATGGGTGTTTATATGTTCGTGTGTACAAGCGTAAACCCTGCCTATCTGTGTGGCCCTGGACACAGCTGTGTTCTACGTTTTGCGTGTGGCTAAATGTGATGCAGTGGTGTGTATAGGTTCAATGACTACTATAGTGCTGCATGAACAAAACTATATGCTGTGCACATCAGTGTTTTTTTACTCTCCATGTGAATAATCCTTAACTCCAAGCCCGACTTTTTCATGTCCAGCCCCAAAGTCTAGCACGCTGACATACACAGGTTCTCTGCATCCTGGGCATACATCCCTAAACACATGTGGTCTTAAACACAAGTACCACTCAGTACATTGTTCAGCTGCAGCGTATTTCAGCCCATTGTACTCTGACCGGCTACATGCTGTACCTCTGCCTCCCGGAACACAAAAACGCTTGGGAATGAAGTCTTGCTAGGTCACTTCATGCTGGCCCCTTATGTAGGTATAGCTAGGTAAAACAAAGTGCTTCTAAAGCCTAAACATTTTTTTACCTTAAAGTGACAAACATTCAGTGTTTAAAAAAAACAAACAAACAATGGTCTTGCACAGAGAAGCCCCGATCCTCTTCTTTTCAGGTTCAATTTGTATAATAATCAATGTGAACAGTAAGCTTTTGCAAAGCTCTCAGCAGCTTTCTCCAAGCCTTTAAAGCATCCTACAGCTCCTGTTTGGAAAGGTTACATACAGATTTTAACGGGAGTGCCGATTGTCACTTTAAACAGGCTGCTAGCAGGCTTTCAAAAAGCTTTAAGTAGTGGTGAAACCTCCTAGCAGCTTGTTTAAAGTGACAATCAGCACTCCCATTAGGATCTGTGTTCAGCATTTACAAACTGGAGCTGAATGGGACTTTAAAAGCTTGTTGAAAGCTCTGCAAATGCTTTGTAAAAGCTGTTCATATTGCCCTTATACAAGCTGAAGCCTGTGTGAAACAGGCCTTAAAGTAGAAGGATGGTCTAAAACTATTTAAGCCTGCTCCCACCTCCATTGTAAGATCTATACTAGCTCCCCTGTAAAGAAAAGACCTGTATTATTTACCTAATGTAAGGACACTCCTGTCCAGTCATGTGATCTCCCATCAGCCAGCTTAACGCGGAGCTCCACCCAAAAGGGGAAGTTCCACTTTAAGGACTGCTCCCCATTAAGGATTGGCAGCTTTGGGGAGCGGGTACCTGAATTTGACAGGTACCCGCTCCCACTTCCGGTCCGATTGCCTAAGCGATCAGAACATGTCCTCCCTGTAGTCTTTTGGGACACGTGACAGGTCCCAGAAGACTACAGGACCATTCACGAAGCACAGCACTACTCGTGCATGCGCAGTGGGTACCCGGCTGTGAAGCCGCAAGCCCACACTGAAGATGCCAGCCTCCTGGAATACAGGATGGGCGGTTAAACGGGCTGCGGGGGACACACCGAGGGACAGGTAAATGGCTGTTTTGTTTTTTTTTTTTTTTAAAAGTCAGCAGCTACAGTTTTTGTAGCTGCTGACTTTTATTTTTTGATAGGTTGAGTGGAACTCCACTTTAAGGGGGAGAGGAGAGCAGAAATGGCTGCAGAGCCTAGGCAGTGACATTACCAATAGGCCTATTATGGGGCATCTGTTGTCAGTCATCCCTCCTCACCCCTGAAGCCTGTGCTGGGAGATGATCACATGACCACACTGCCACTAGATTAGGCAAGTAAAAAGATCTTTCCTTTACAAGATAGATCGTATAGGGTTTAGAATGGGAGTGGGAGCAAAGTTGATTTAAAGTTGTTTAGTTTTTTTTCTAATATAATATCAATCATGACATACTTTCCTGCTCTGTGTAATGGTTTTGCACACATCAGCCCTGATCGTCCTTGTCCTGGCTCCACCCCCCCTTGACCAGTGCCCCCAAAGCAAGCCACTTGCTTTGGGGGCATTTGTGCATGCTCGCTTCTGAGCCCTGCCCTACGTCCATAAGACACACAGAGCGGGCATGGTGTCACCCCCTTACCTTCTCACTGCCTCTGATTGACAGTATATGAGCCAATCAGCTCTCGTGCACATTGCTGGATCGAGATCGGGTATTTGGGGGTCTGTGGGGGAGGCTGCATGCAGGTTTTTTTTTTTACCTTGCAGTAGAAATACACAGATACCAGTTTTTTCAGAGCAAGTATGAGTACCGACATAATCACATGCAATTCTTTGCAGTGCAATTTGAGCCCATTCATTTTGTATTGGCTCAAATCACACAAAAAGTTATCGGTTTTAAGCATCAGAGCATTTGCACGAGTACAAGTACTCGTGCAAATGCTTAGTATCGGCACCTATACTCGAATCGGTGCAACCATACCTTACAGCAGGCCTTGAAATTTCCACTCGCCAGCTCGCAATGGCGAGTGGAAATTATGGTGGAGGCGAGTGTGTCCCCAGTGCCGTCTTGCTGAGCAGGCTCGGAACTCAGGGCCGGATCGCTCATTCGCACTGGAAGCCGTCAGACTGCTCAATAGTTGAGCAAAGTGAAAGCAAAGGAAGGAGTGTGTGCTGTGCTCTCTGCCTCCCCCTAGAGTGCAGTACCTGGCTCTGTGAGTAAAGGTAACAAAGTACTGCAACTTTTTATAGGGGCTGTGTGTGTATTTGTGTGTACATGTACATACATACACAGAAATGCGCATACATACACATGTATGTCTGTATGTATGTGTACATGTGTCTCTGTGCATGGGTGTACATGTTTCTGTGTGTGTGTGTTCAGGTGTCTGTGTATGTACATGTGTCTGAATGTAAACCTACATGTATGGGTAGTTGGTCAGGTTCAGGATTATATAGTTATTATAGGTGGTAGAGTATGGGGCATTTGAGGTATTGCTGGGTTGGATAGTAGGTAGGATATGCTTGGTAGAGTTATGGTTTTGTGAGTGAAAGATTATGGGGGGTTATGGTTGTATGCGGTGCATGGTCTAAGTATGATGGAGTGTTTAGGGGGACATTGGAGGCCCTGATGTAATGTGGGAGGACTCTGGGGACCCTGATGTAATGTGGGTAACATTTAACAGTGTCATTTCATTAAATAATTTACGAGGGCGTGTTTAGGGGCAGAATTAGGGGTGTAGCAGGGTAGAGGTTGGGTGGGGCAACTGGTGGCAAGTAACTCTTAAGGCCTGGCTAGTAGCTCAGGACTTGAAATTTTAAGCCCTGCCTTACAGCATAAAATGGAGTAAGACAGGGCTCAACAAATCCCAGGCGCCAGCTCAACTAGAAATTGCATCCTGGTGTCTAGGTTCACACACACTGCCTCCCATTGGCTTCAATGCATAAATGCCTGATTGACGTCAATGCAGAATTCCTGTCAATAGCAATCCTATGTGAATACTTCCCTCTGCATGTGTGAGTCTGGAACACACAGCTACAAACTTGCACAGAATCCTTTTTCTAATGGCACTTAAACCGCAATGAGTGTGGATCGCATCTGTGTGAACCACCTTAATAGGAACACAATATCTAGCCTGTCATGTGAATCTCAGAGTCTGAAAACACATCCAGAATCGCATATGTGTGAACCAGGGCAGCTCCATTCACACTTGGGTGGTTTAGGATTGCAGCAGAATCAATACGATCACAGAACGCAGGTTCAGATGTTTTTATTTTCAATGGCATCTAAAATGTGGTGCAGTTTTGCCATGATAGTCACGCGGCAAATTGCATCATGTGCCGCTTGTCACTCAAAAGTTGCCTTGTCCCGGGCACTGACAACCCACGCTATGTAAAGAAAAAAAAAAAAACAAAAAAACCACTGGCTCCTATCTTCTTTAGCTGGATTCCTAGATTTAAAGCAAAATTGTCAAGCCCTGAAGTAAGGTAAACCTCCTGCCTTGACCACCACTTTAAGCGCCTCCGCCCCACCCTATAGCAGGAATACTGCTACAGGGCGGCATGGGTGTACAAAATTACATACTATTATTAAATATATATATACACATACATACACACACACACACACACACACACACGTGATTTTGCAGTTCCAGGTGGGGGGGGGGGGGGGGGGAGGCACGTGTGGCCTACTCGCTCCGCCATTCACAGCCTTGGCTGTCAATCACCAGGTCCCGGCCAGTGAAGCGTGCACACACAGCCCAAGTAGTGTAACAGCACACAGTTAACCCTTTGATCGCCCCACATGTTAACCCCTTCCTGCTCAGTGCCATTAGTACAGTGTCAGCGCTTTTTAGTAGTACAGATCACTGTATTAGTGTCACTGGGGATGACAGTGACACAAAGTCAGTTGCCCCTCCCCAGTGTCAGAATGCCCTTTGCAGTCCCACTATAAGCTGACGATTGCCGCCATTACTAGCAATAATAATAATTTAAAAAAAAATGAAATTACACACACACACACACACACACACACACACACACACAGTATTTTTTCCGTCGTATAAGACGACTTTTTACCCCTTGAAAATCTTCTCAAAAGTCAGGGGTCATCTTATACGCCGGTATACGGCATGCTGACACTTTTTAGGGGGGCGAGGCGGCGCCCTTTTCCTCCCCCCCCCCCCCCCCCCGACACCGACGATGGGGCACGGTTCCATCCCCCACTGACACCGACGATGGGGCACGGTTCCATCCCCCACTGACACCGACGATGGGGCACGGTTCCATCCCCCACTGACACCGACGATGGGGCACGGTTCCATCCCCCACTGACACCGACGATGGGGCACGGTTCCATCCCCCACTGACACCGACGATGGGGCACGGTTCCATCCCCCACTGACACCGACGATGGGGCACGGTTCCATCCCCCACTGACACCGACGATGGGGCACGGTTCCATCCCCCACTGACACCGACGATGGGGCACGGTTCCATCCCCCACTGACACCGACGATGGGGCACGGTTCCATCCCCCACTGACACCGACGATGGGGCACGGTTCCATCCCCCACTGACACCGACGATGGGGCACGGTTCCATCCCCCACTGACACCGACGATGGGGCACGGTTCCATCCCCCACTGACACCGACGATGGGGCACGGTTCCATCCCCCACTGACACCGACGATGGGGCACGGTTCCATCCCCCACTGACACCGACGATGGGGCACGGTTCCATCCCCCACTGACACCGACGATGGGGCACGGTTCCATCCCCCACTGACACCGACGATGGGGCACGGTTCCATCCCCCACTGACACCGACGATGGGGCACGGTTCCATCCCCCACTGACACCGACGATGGGGCACGGTTCCATCCCCCACTGACACCGACGATGGGGCACGGTTCCATCCCCCACTGACACCGCCACGATGGGGCACGGTTCCATCCCCCACTGACACCGACGATGGGGCACGGTTTCCATCCCCCACTGACACCGACGATGGGGCACGGTTCCATCCCCCACTGACACCGACGATGGGGCACGGTTCCATCCCCCACTGACACCGACGATGGGGCACGGTTCCATCCCCCACTGACACCGACGATGGGGCACGGTTCCATCCCCCACTGACACCGACGATGGGGCACGGTTCTTCCCACTGACACCGACGATGGGGCACTATTCCTCCCACTGACACCAATGATGGGGCACTATTCCTCCCACTGACACCAATGATGGGGCACTATTCCTCCCACTGACACCAATGATGGGGCACTATTCCTCCCACTGACACCAATGATGGGGCACTATTCCTCCCACTGACACCAATGATGGGGCACTATTCCTCCCACTGTTTTGCATTGGAAGAGGGGTAGTCTTATACAGCGAGTATAGCCTAAACACTACATTTTAACAGGAAAAGTAGGGGGTCGTCTTATACGCCGGAAAATACGGTATATATATATATACCGTATTTTCTTTTTTTTTTTTTTTCCACCATTTGTAGACTATATAACTTCCACATCAACATATTGGGTTTGTTTTTGTTTTTTTAAGCAAAGACATGTCGCAGAATACATTTTGGATTTATTTTTCAATTTTTTTACTGGACATGTTTTATAACAAAAAGACAAAAATAAATCTTTTTTTTCAAAATTGTCGGTCTTGTTTATAGCGCAAAAGAAAAAAACTGCACAGGCGATCAAATACCACTGAAAGAAAGCTTTATTTGTGGGGGAAAAAAAAAAAACAAAAACAAAATAAGGACAAACGTCATTTGGGTACAGCGTTGCATAACCGCGCAATTGTAAGTTAAAGTCCCTCCCTGTAGTCTTGTGGAACACGTGACAGGTCCAAGAAGGCAACGGGGCCATTCAGGAAGCGCAGCACTACTCACGCATGCGCAGTGGACACCTGTCTGTGAAGCTGTGACAGCCGGGTGCCCACACTGAAGATGCCAGCGCCTGGAATACAGGACAGCCGGTGAAACTGGCTGTGGCACCGCGGGACAGGTAAGTGGCTGTTTTTTAAAAGTCAGCAGCTGCAGTTTTTGTAGCGGTTGACTTATTTTTTGACAGTGAGTGGAACTCCGCTTTCAGCTTAGGCAGGTTTAGACCAGCCTTCTACATGAAGAATATGCCTGTATAGGGCTGTGTTTACCTTCACAGGGATGCTCAGGTGTCCCACTGATGTCAATTGGGACACAGCGGCTACACAGACACCGCTCAGACCTGCGCCCACAGGGCTGTCAGCAGTTTGTGTCCCTGCAGCCGCTGCATCTCAATGGACCTCAAAGGGACTACCTGCATGGAACACCTGAGCATTCCCTCCACAGGCACACACTTTGGTCCTCCCCATGGGAGCAAGGCCCAGGACATAGGATTATGCCAGGAGGAGTTGTGGAATACATCTCTCCGCTGATTATGTGAAACATAATCCCTACAATCCCCTCCAGGAGCTCCCGAGACCCAGCATGAGAGAGAAGGGCACCGGGACAGGGGCAGACATATGGTCCCGGAGCTCCAGGAAGGGTCCGAGGAATATAAACAGGAGCATAGCAAGGAGCAGCCTCCAGAGAGGACTATGGGAGCACAGTGTGTACCCCGATGAGGCAATGACAGGGCCCCTATACAAGCACCATCGCTCTCCACTAGAAGGGCAAGAGAACTCCTCCAGCAGCCCTGAACACGTCACAGCTGAGCCCAGAAAATGCACAACCTGGAGACCAGGAACTGCCGGGGAGGAATGGAACCCTCAGCACCCCACTTCCTGCAACCAGTCGTCACCGCCTCCCTCGGAGCACCCCAAACCCCGCACCTCCCCCCCAACTCACACCCTCTCCGGAACACTCACCAGGAACGGCGTTTAAATTCTCCGCCATGTTGCGCGGGACAGTCTCTGCGCCCCCTAGAGCAGTCTTTATTCTGATTGGCCCCTGAGCCCCGGCGCGGGCAGCATGGCCAGCCTCAGATTGGCCGCAGTGGGCCTGACGTCGCCGGAGGGGTGGGCCCGTGAAATTGCGCGCCATTTCATTAGGCTCACCAAAGAGGCGGGAAAAGCACTGACGTTCACCTTCAGTTTGTTGGCAGCCGCAAGAGGCCGAGAGCGACTTGTCTCCACTCCTGGCGGCCATTTTTCTTAAACCTTGACATTGAGTATTGTAGGACGATGGGCTACGATACGATGGCAGCTACGTGAAATAGTGGGTACATGTGATGAAAAAGGTGGTCGTCTTGTCTACGAGTCTATGATCCAAGACAGCCTTTATACTAGTGTTTTCTGTTAATAGCTGGGCTACGTAGACGACTGTATCGCTAGTGGGCATCTCTGTCAGTGTGACAGCTGGTCATGCCTTGTGTTAGCACTGACAGCTGATTCCCTTTGATTACACACAGAGAGCCTCT